TTCTCTTTTGAAATTTTGAAAAATAATAAAGGGTAAAAGAGTCTAAGTCAACTTAAAAAACTAAGGGTATGTTTAAGTCAATTTATGAAACCTCGGGGTATGTTTAAGTGTCTTACCCTTATTATTGTAATTGTTAGACAGTGTATACMCAGCTTCAATCAGATTGATGTACTTAATGTCATTTATGGTAAATGAATAAAGTGCATAATTGATTCATGTTATTTTGTTGTGTYTCTRTGAAATACCCTTAAACTGGACACTTATGAGACTCATGTTAGTTTAGAATATTCATAACCGTTGGATAGATCTGGCGAGATTTATCCTGCCAAATCTAACACTGATGTGCCGCCAAGTTGGTTGGGGTGGCTTGTCTCATCTGCCAGGGTGAGACCTGAGGAACATGCAGTGTGAGTTTTCCTGAAACCCTAAACCGGACCAAATTCCAATATTGCCCTGGACCTTGGAGATAGATGCACAAAACTATAATGTTACACCTGACCCCTAGACTCGATTATGGTACTTCACTAGGTGTCGGATTGGGCCGTCTTTGATATGCCAATCAGTGAGATCCTTAGAAGGGGTCAAAACCTTGGTATGGTGGGATAGTCCAAGAATTCATCCGAATGGGTGATCATAGTGATAGGATCAGCCCCTATATCGGACAAAGTGAATGATCGAGGAATGCACTCTCTCTGATGGAAACCTAAACTGCCGGCAGTGGATTTCAAATGTGTTTGAAATTTGGTTTTGCAAAATATATTTATATAGAGAGTGCAACACTGTGTCCTGCAACCGAGGGAGAGGTCATCTCTTGTCGGGCAGTGTTTGATCATTAAGGGCTGAGAGGTTAAGTGTAAGACCATTGAGGGTAATACCTGATGGGTTAATCTTGCATCTACCCACAATCCTTGGGTTTTCATAAGGTGGTTGGACCCAAGGACCATTTAGTGTAAATGTTGGGGCTATTAAGAGCCCATGGTAATGGACTCAAGRGTTCACTGTGTCCTGCAATGAATTCAGCTAGGCCTTGTAACAGAGGTTAGGCTGAACCCATGTGGCTGATGTGTAGATCAATGTTAGGGTTCCACGCCATACAAAGATAACCAAGTTAGCTGGCAGATTAAAGGGTAAGTGAGTTATGTGACTTAATGGGCCTAAAGTCCATTTCGAACTGGGCTTAAATCAGTTAATTAAAAGGGGGTGAAATCTGATTTATAACCTGATTGGGATTAACTGAAGGATAAGATCAGTCTTATCCATTTAAAAGTCCAAATCCAAAAATCAGATTTGGATCAAGAAACTCTATCCTAATTGGATTAGGACGCTGATCCAAAGAATGCTATAAATAGGGGCGAATTCTCTAGTTGAAAGACACTCTCACACACCCAGCAACCTATAGAATTCTCCCAGTTCTTGTTGCCCCTACCTAGTTCGATCTCCACCTGTGGAATTGATCAAGAAAGGCTCTTGATATTGTTTCTTACTAGAMGAAACAATCTGAAGTCATGCTCACCAGCCCTTGTTCGATTCTTACTAAAGAATTCAAGTTCTTGCTGAAGAACCATCTTTTCCTTTTGGTTTYCGCTCTGGTCTGGTTTTGATTCAAGAACGAACCTTGAAAATGTAGTTTTCTAAATTAGAGAATATGATTCCCGGATGGGAGTGAAAGAAATTTTTGAAATTTCACCCAACCTTCCTGCAAGGTTAGGCCATCCATATGATGGATCTCCCATCCCTTCAATAATAGGTCTAGAAATCTTTGCCCATCTCCACCATGTCCATCAGACCACGAGATTGGCCCATCTAACCTTAAAAGCTTGGTCGGTACAGCCAGATTTGGGATAAAGTGGTAAACAACTATTAACGACACTATAAACTATAGAGATACAAACTCAAAAGCATTCAAGCTTGCTACAACTACGGAGATCAGCCAGTCATCATCGAAAGAGACTCTAAGCTTGTCATCAACTGTCTCAGAGAGGTAAAGCGAAGCCCCCTTAGAGGTTGGAGAACGTCATCAAGGAGTGCCTTATCTTGTCATCCATGTTCAACCTAAACATTGATGTAGAACAAACATCTAGAAACATTCAACAGAAGTAGAGAAAGCCACGTACATATTAGAATTAGTAGGTTTCTTTTTTAGTGCTATTGGTTAGGTTTCTTTTTTAGTTTCATTTTTTTATCAGCAAAAAAGACTTTTATTAATAACAAAGAAATATTAAATTACAATAGTTATAGGTTGCAGTAATGTGTTAACCCAATCTACAAACACATACAAACAATTACAGTTTCACCCAGTACAAAATAGATCTATTTGCCCCCTGTTTTGCTAGGGTATCCGCCAACCATTTGTAATCCTTTTGACCCAACCAAATTGTGAGTTGAACCTCATTGCAAGTATGTCAATTTCTTTGTGGAGAAATTAGAGCTTCCAAAGTGCTGATGTGATGTTTTTAGCCCAAGAAATGATGAATAGTGAGTCTCCTTCTATTTCTAAATCTGTTGTTCCAATCCGCTCAACCATCTTTAAACCTTGAAGTAGAGCCAGAGATTCAGCCTATATTGAGTCACCAATACCTATTGGTCCTAAGAAGAATGCTACAACTTCACCTAGATGATTCCTAATCACACCCCCTATGCCTGCCCCTTTCGGGTTATCAAAGGAACTCCCATCAAAGTTTAGTTTTAGTTTGTTATGACTTCAATGAGTTCCTCCTTTGATTTACTTGTTTCAAAGAAGAGTCTTTGGTTTCTTTCCTCCTATATAGTCCATACCACAGCAGCTCTTGCTGCCTTCCATAAGCACTTTCCTCATTTCATCTATTGCCTCAAGAAGGAGGTGCTGAAAAGACTTACAACATCCCGTGGGGGAGCCCATCTACATCCAAAGAGAGAACAAACAATTTCCCAAATACAAGAAACAAAAGAGTAGGATAAGAGTAAGTGGGGTAGGGTTTCACCACAATCCTTACAAAGGACACACACATGAGGAGAGAGGCATTTGTTTGCCCTTCTTTTCTATAGAACATCACAAGTGTTTACCTTCCCTAAGAACACTTCCCAACAGAAGGCTTGTACTTTAAGAGGGATCGGTTTACACCAGATTTCTCTCACCGGGAAGTTCACCCCCAAAAGATCAAAGTGAGTAAGAAAATCGAAGAAAGAGTCACAAGAGAATAAACCATCAGGAGTTGGGGACCAAACTCTACTATCAGTTGTAGCTTGGTCTAAATAGACCTTCTCAAGGGTTGAGAACAAAAGCAATAGGTACACACATTCATTTTCTCTCAGCCCCCTTCTGAAGCCAAAGTCCCAAGAGATACCCAAGTCTAAAAGCATGCTAACCCTAGAAACAGGTKTGTTTTTAAGGTTTGATAAAGAGTAGAGGTCTAGGAATTTTATCTTAAAAGGAAAATCCCCAAACCCAAAAGTCTTCCTAAAATAAAACTTTATTGCCACACCCAATGTCAAAAYGGATAAATTGAAAAAATGTTGGTAGTACCTCAAAGATTGCCTTCCAGGGAGAATTTGGAGCTGCATTGGAGGCTAGTTTTGTATCCTAGTCATTTTTTGCTTTACCATGAATGCTTTTATTGACCATGTGCCACAACCTATCTTCTTCGCAATGGAATCTCCATAGCCATTTCCCTAGGAGGGCCATATTTTTATTTAAGATGTCCCAATACTTAGGCCACCTTGCTCCTTAGGTTTACAGAATTTCTCCCACTTYACTAAATGATCCCTCTTTTCATCACCAAGTTCCGACAAAAAATCCCTCATTATCTTCTCCAACTTCCTTACTATTTTCACTGTGATCTTAAAGGTGGAAAATAAGTGGGCAGATTTTCTAGGGGGGGGGGGGTTATCAAGGTGATTCCCCCCCCCCCCTCAAAGAAATATAACTTCTCTTCCACATTTCCAACTTCTTTGTGAACCTCTCTAAAACTGGCTTCCAAAAGTTGAAAGCTTTTGGGTTTCCCCCTCCCAGGGCATACCTAGGTATTCTAGAGGCCATCTTTTCACTTCACAACCTAGCAAATTTTCCATGGCGTAGATGTCCCCCTCCCCTAGGTTTATTCCAGATACATAGCTTTTTCCCCAATTCACTTTTAGTTTGGAGGCCTGTTGAAACTTATCCACTAAATTTTTCAGATTCCTCAAATTGGATTCATCACAACTTTCACATAAAATGATTGTATCATCAGCAAATTGCAAGTGAGATACCATCACTTCTGAACTACCAATCCTCTAACCTTTAAACTAGTTTTCTTGGTCAGCCTTGACGATTTGTCTACTCAAAACTTCAACAACAAAGGTAAATAAGAATGGGGATAAAGGATCACTCTGTCTTAGTCCTCTTTTAGCCGGGAAAAATCCTTTGCTACCCCATTTAAAATGATAGAAAAATGTGTCGAGCTAATACATCATTTAACCCATAGTCTCCATCTTTCACCTAAACCCATATTTTCCATGAGATTCAACAGGAATGACCAATCCACCATATCATAAGTTTTTTCTAAGTTCAATTTACAAATCAAACCTTTGACACTTTGTTTTTTCTTAGCTACCACACATTCATTTGCCACTAAGATTTGATCCACTATTTGCCTCCCTTCTACAAAGGCTCCTTGTTTCTGAGAAATAACAAAGGGCAAGACAGTCTTCAACTGACCATCCAGAACTTTAGCAATGATCTTATACATGCTACCCACAAGACTTATCGGTCTGTAACCCTTAGGGGTTTTGGCCTCTTTATTTTTTGGCACTAGAGCAATAAAAGTTGCATTTGATCTTGGAGAGTATTTCCCTTTTTTATAGAACTCGACAAAGACATCCATTAAAYTATCTTTCAAGATTTCCCAACATTCTTGATAGAAAGACATTGAAAAACCAACTAGCCCCGGAGCTTTAAATCTATCCATCGAGAAAATTGCTTCATGGACCTCCTTTACACTGAAGGATCTTTTTAAGAAAGCAGCTTCAGATTTTGGCACTCTATCTCATTGTAATTCTCCTAATTCCAAATTGCTTTCAACAGAAGAGGGAACGATTGACTTGAAATGATCCATAAAGMACCTTTCAATTTCATCCTTTGAATTTACTACTCTTCCCTCCACCTCTATACTAGAGATTTGGTTTTTCCTTCTTCCCCCATTTATTAGGGAGTGAAAATTTTTGGTGTTTCCATCCCCCTCTAGAAGCCATTTACACCATGATTTTTGTCTCCAAGAAATTTCTTCCTTCTCATGATCTTCTCTATGGGCCTCCTTTTGGTCTAATTCCTCTACTTTCCTGGCTAATTCCTCCTTTATGACCTCGAGTATTCCAAATTCTTCTTCGTTCCACTCCTTAACATTTTCCTTCAATCTTTTCAACTTCATTGAGAATCTCACAACTTTCTCTTTGGCCCTTATTCCACCTTCTGACCACCAACCTTTTATCTTTTGCATAACGTTTGGAACTTCCATCCACATATTCTCAAATCTAAAGGGTGTAGGGCCACCAATAAGGTTTTCTTGGAAGAGACTTAGGGGGAAGATCTCCAAGGTTACTCTAGGAAGGGATTTTAGTGTTAAGTTTCCCCACAACTCCTCCCAATCAATGGAGAAAATGAACCTATCCATCTTTGAACACACTTGACTTTCCTGAAGATTTGACCAAGTGAAAGAGGCTTGTAACAAGGTAGGTTCTCTTAGTTTTAGGGACTCAATCAAGGAGTTGAAGTGTCTCATACTAGTTGTTATGGACTGATTGGGGTTGTTTGTCTCATTTGTGTACCTTATCACATTGAAATCCCCTCCTAAACACCATTGACCCTCCCAAAGGCCCCTAACTGCAGCTAGCTCTCCCCAGAATGTATCCCTCTCTCTATATGAATTCGGGCCATACACATTAGTCAACACCCAATCCCTTCCATCACACATCCTCTTAGCTTTTATTAATACTGAGTATTGTCCTATCAACTCCTCCTGATAATCAACTTCCTCATTTTTCTAAATCTTAAGGATACCACCCGAGGTACTCCAAGATGGGGCAAAAGACCAACTTAGACCCCTACTACTCCAGATACTCCTTATCCATCTTCCATCCAAATCCGAAAGTTTTGTTTCCTAGAACATGACTATTACCGGTCTCTTAGTTTTTATCACATTCCTGATGATTCCTCTCTTCTTTGCACTCCCTAACCCTCATACATTCCAATAAAGAATCTTCATTCCACTTTTTGTCTAGACCCTTTCCTATTTCCAAGTCCTACTCTCCTTTCTTTTTCTCCCTCTTCCTGTTTACTGTCTTCTCATAGGATACTCCACAAGCTAGCTTTTCCACCTCATTCATTCTCCTTTTTCTTTTTTTGTCATCTCCTACATCCTTTCTAAGATAGACCTTCCCTTTGGTGAACTTTTCCTCTAGCTTCTTTTTGTTCCATCCCTTTTAATTTGAGTGGTTCTCTACAATCATCTTCTTTCTCAGCTAACACATTAAGTTCCTTCCCCTTTTTCTTCTATGCCTACAATAGTTCCATTTTCCCCTTCTTCCTTTTCAAATTCCTTCTCTTGAGTCACATTCAATATCACTTCCCCTTCTCTGTCTTTATCTCCTCCCCTATCTTCTTTTCATGCCGCACAAGGGTCATTATCTGCCACCGGTGAAGTTTCAACAGTTGGATCTACAAAAACCAAAGGTCGAGGATTATTATAAGGATCAATATCAATTGAGTTTTGAAAGTAAAGTGGGGAGGAAGAAAGAATTGGAATGAGGGGAAAGGGGGAAGAAACTCCCTGATCCTAATGCTGGTTTCCATCGACCACTCCAAGTACAATCACTGATGGTTCGAGTTCAGGTTCAGTAACCACCTGTGCAGCTGAGGGGAGCTGTTCCTCACATGGTTCCATGTTTGGTTTGCAGTGAAAATCCATCTCTTCAAAACCGTTACCCTGCCTTTATTCTTGACTTGTTTCTACTTTCTCCTCTCTTTGAGAATCATCTAAAAGCCTTCCACTTTCCACAGTAGAGTCACCATCCCCAGATTCCTGTAGTTCCAGAACTTCCGTACTAGGTTCTTCACTAAAGAAGAGTTTAGTTCCAAAGACCTCGAGGTCAGTGAAATTACAGGCCTTTGTTGAGTCGAGGCTACCTATGATCCACTTCATTCTCCTCCACATCTCTCAAATTCTCACGGTCATCTTCAGAGTCCCCTTGCGAGTCCCTATTGTATCAAGGGTTCGGCTTTTATTATTCTGCTAGGAAAGTATTTTTTCCTACTAGGAGTTTGTTTCTTTATTGCTATAAACCCTTCGTTGTAGTGAATTATGGCATTGCTTCAATACAAAGCCTCCACTGTTTACCTCTGTTTCTGGGTTTAATTCCCTGAATTGCTTTCCATGTAACTACAAGGTTTCACTTGTTAGTACAAGAACTAGCTCTTGTGTTACGGTGCTACGCCAAACATTGTCTTCAGGCATGCTTTCCTGGAGGCGAATCAAGCTGTGGATTGGTTGGCTCATAAAGAGTTTAATGATCTTTTATTCAACTCTAGTTATTTTGCCAATGAGCTTAAGTTTATTTGCTTAGCTGATTTGTGGGGAAGAACTACCCCCGGTTTGGTAGCTCCTCTATGCTTCCATTAAAAAAAGTCCTGAGTGCTAGACCAAGATTGTCAAACTCAGACTGAACCGTATGGGTGGACCGTCAAGGTCCAGGAATCGACAGCCAAATTGTCGATTTGTTATTTGATTCTTAGAGACCGTTGATAGTGATTGAAGTGGGTGAACTAAATAACCTAATCTATTTTTTGCTTTTAATAAAACTTACTTGATATTAGAAGAGACCCATGGATGTATAGGCTGGTGTTAAAAAAGATGTTTATATATAAAGGGATATGATTTAATTTACTGATATACACATGTATTGAGAACATCTCACATGAATGACAATGGAAAATATTTTAATACACACCGTAGTGTACTATGGATAGGGATGTGGGAAGGGTTTTTGGRTAGGGGATTGGACTCAGCTTAAATAGTCTCGTATATATTTGATTTTTTATTTTTATTAATATTTAAAAAACAGAAAGTTTTAAAGAGATTGATATTCCATATATAATGGTGGTTACCTTGTTAATTCCAATTCATCTTGACATTTTTTAAATTTGGTACACTTTATTTGGATTAGTTAGGCTTCTTTATTACCAAATTAATATAGAATGTCAACTGGCCCATCACCGACAAAGTTGAGAATAGGACAGGGAAGCAGAATTTGGTATTATCCTATATCAAGAAAATTGAGTTGACAGTTCACTTAAATTCATACTTTTTTTTCTCCTGGTATTAATGCAATTTTGGCCTCCGGTCCGGCCAATGGATGATTAGGATTAGTGATACGGTGAGTTTGTTTATCTGCCCCAATGTGATCCAGTCCAATATGAATTCATTACATATGGATCAGGTTTAATTTAATCCAATGAATAGTTTGGACTAATTTGGACCAGTCCAACTTAATATTTGGACTGTCCAATCTGTTCAAATTGGTTTCAATTCAAACTTAGTGCATTGATACTTATTAATGGATAGGATATTGGTTCAATCTAACCCAATCCAATATAAATCCATTATGGATAGACCAAGTTCAATTCAATCCAATAAATACTTTGAACCATTAAGTCTGGACTGGTCCAGTTCAATATATTTTATTGGTCCGTCCAATCCATCCAAGGATGTCCATCCACACCCCTAATTGCAGGGATGTCAGTCGGTTAAGCGGTAAATTCACACTGATCCGAATCCCATCATTAGGCCGGTCAGTCTAAATCAGGTTTGAGGTTAAGGTTGTTTCAGATTTAGGTGTGTGTGGCTATGATACTGAAAAAACATGATATCCGAAAAAATTTATCAGTATCATAAACATATTAACCAGTCAAGTGGAATTTATCAAAATTCACAGATGGATTTTGATTGATCAAAACTCTCTCAGTATCATGTCTTTCTACTTCTATTTGGCATCGTAGATTTTCCCAATCAATGTTACAGCATTCGAATAATTATGAATAGAATAGACAGATCCTTCCCAAATAACCTAAAACTAGATCCTAATATTTATATTCTCTTTGAATAAACTAGAGGAATTTGGACAACCTCGTCTTGTGGCCCCTTGCCAGCTCCTGAAGATTGTGAAGTGTTATCTCCCAGCAGATATATATTTATATATAGCTGCTTTTGGTCAGTTCTATATATCATCTCATGCATTAAGAAAACCTTTGAACCTTTTCAATTCTTATAGTATTATAAGATAAGACAGCTCATTTCCTTCAAAAGCTACATTCCAAGGTGTTWGATTTAGCACCATTGCATATGAAAGGACCACTTCCATTTTATAAATAAATAAATAAGACTCGGATCGGACTGGATGACTGAACACGTTTTTGGGTCTTAGTTAAATAATGGTTTTCGTGGTTTGAATGAGTTTAATTACCCAGTTAACCGGTAAAATCATGATTCAGTGAGCATTCCAATTTAATGTTCAGTCCGATGGTTTTCAAAACCGGATCAGACCGGATGGTCGGATTGGAAAAATCAGGAGTTGGTCAGGTGATCAGCTTCATTTTACCCCAAAACCGTTATTTCATCAAAAATCGTTGATTTAATCAAAAAACCACTAAYCTGAGCGATCAAACAATTCAATGGTTTGGATTTTTTTTTTATTAAAACCAACCATCTGTTTGGTTCAAATGGTCGAACCATTTGACCCAAAAACTAGACCCCAAACCAATTCATTGTCCGGTTCAATTTTGTTCAGTCCGAATCATACAACATTGGTTAAGTGTTAAGGTCCCAAAACCTTAGATAGCTGGGACCAATATTGGATGGCCTTATGTCACATGCAAGGACCTCTTCCTGCACCAAAGTTGAAAACTTTTGGAATGTCCATTCTTTTTCGAATGTTTAGCTATGAATATTAGAACCAGCTTTTAACGGTAAAGTTGATTGGTTCATTTCTGTGCAAAGGGAATTAAAAAGTGTATTTTATTCTTTTGTTCAAAAATGAGCTTTTCTATATCTTCGTTTACATGTTAGAACATATAAAAAGCAAATTTTGGATGAAAGGGGATAATTAAGGGACGGGCCATACCAAAATAGTCCAGTTGTAAAAGATTGCCACATGATATGAGAACAACCCAAATAAGTTGGTACTTGGTAGGATTGCTGATCCAACTCTCACTAATATAATTACAGATGTACTTTAACAATTAGGAATGGCAACGGGGTGGGCCACTCCATCCCCATCCCCATCCCCATCCCGACCCTGTTGTGGGGCGGTTCAGGGTAGGGCACCCCTTCCACGTTGAGGATGAGGAATCTGAATTTTCTTCTGAGGTACGTAATTACATAAAAAATACATCATTTTTTTTTATAAATAAGATTGTAGGAATTTGGGGGTGTTTTGGAAATGTCATTATGGGACCCTAGGTTTTTTGGAATTTGGGGAAACTTAAGGRTGTTTTAAAACTTAATATTAAACTTAGGAGTATTTTAAAATTTTACCACCGGGTTCARGGCAGGTCCGGGAATTATATGCAAACTCCATCCCTATTCTACCTCCAATTGAAGCAAAAGTCTTTTCTCTATTCCTGTCCCGTCCCCCCCCCCCCTTTTTTTTTTTTTTGATAGAAACCAAGAGGAGCTATACAAGACGGGGGGTAGCACGTTCCCATAAATCAGACTTACAAATACAAGCTAGATTCCAAGGAAGATCACTAAGGTTGAGACTTACTGTACCCTGTACAGACGAAAAGACTAGATTGGCGAGTCAGTCTGCCACTTGATTAGCTTCCTGATAGACATGATTGTAGACCGAGTCTTCGTTTGCTCGATTCTTCAGATCCAAACACTCTTCAATGATGTTCCAAAGGTTCCAGGAGGGGTCGATG